ATGAGCACCAAACCAACCCTACAAAGAGTATTAAAAGATATTTTAGAAAGAGATTAAAAAAAAAAAGACCACAACTTTAAGAACAACAACAGGAAGGAACCACCAAACAGAGCAAGCAATTAAACAGAGGGAAATGAGGAACCAACAGCAGGAAAACAACATAACAAAGATAAGCCAATACATATCAGTTATAACCATCAATGTAAATGGATTTAATTAACCAACCAAAAGAAGGAGACTGGCAGATTGGATTAAGAAACAAAATTCAATAATATACTGTATAAAAGAAACACATTTAACTCAAAAGGAAATTCATAGACTGAAAATCAAAGGATGGAAAACAATACTCCATGTGACAGGTACCCAGAAAAAAGCGGGTATAGCTATTCCGTTTGCAGACAATGGGAACTTCAAACCAAGAACAATTAAAAGAAATAAAGAAGGTCACTACATACTTGTGAGGTGAAAACTTCAAGAGGAAGAGATAATAATCATAAACATCTATACACCAAACACAGGAGCACCCAACTATATAAGACAAATTTTAACAGACATAAAAAAAGAAATAAGCAGCAACACATTCATAGCAGGGGACTTCAATGCCCCACTGTCACAAAAAGATACATCAATTAGACAAAAAATTAGCAAAGAAATAACAGAACTAAACCAAACATGTGAACAAATGGACTTGGTAGACCCGTACAGTGTTCCACCCAACAGCATCAGAATACACATTCTTCTCAGGTGCACACGGGACGTTCTCTAAAATAGACCAGATTCTAGCACATAGAATATGCTTAAGGAAATGCAAAGGAGTTGAAATTATCTCATGCATACTATCGGACCATAGTGCAATGAAATTGGAAATTAATGACAAAGGAAATCACAAGAACTCCATAAAAACATGGAAATTTAACAGCACCCTCCTGAACAATCAATGGGTCACAGATGAAATCAAAGAAGAAATTAAACACTAAGTATAATCAAACGAAAATGTAGATACAACTTATAGGAACCTATGGAATGCAATGAAAGCAGTCCTCAGAGGGAATTTATAGCAGTGAATTCCTACCTCAGGAAATCAGAACGAGCACAAATAAACAATCTTATGCTGCACCGCAAGCTTCTAGAAAAAGAACAAATCAAAGCAAAAGCCCAGAGAAGGCAAGAAATTATAAAGCTCAGAACCAAAACATTCAGCATCCCCTTCCTGACCACCTCCAGTTCTCCAGAAATTAATGCAATGGAAACTACAAAAACAATGCAAAGAATTAATAAATTGAAGAGTTGGTTCTTTGAAAAAATTAGGCCAGGTGTGGTGAAGAAATATTAATGGTGAATAAATACATGAAAAAAATGTTCAGCATCATTTATCATTCAAGAAACGCAAATTAAAACAACACTGAGATTTCATCTCACCCCACAAAGAATGGCTATCATTAAGAAATCAAGCAATGGGGCTGGGGATTTAGCTCAGCCGCAAAAGCGCC